CTTGCATTCCCACTGCAACTTTAGAGTCTTTTATATAGAAGATGCTCAAAAGTGTTTGAAGAATTGAAAGGAGCTGTTGACCAACAATTCTAAACGTTTCCACTGACCGTTTTGGCAGCTTTGTCATGCCACTTAGGGATGCCACCAAGCACACACACACTTGTCATGCACATGAAACAATAGGCCATGAACCTAAAGGGCATTTTGTTCTGTCTTTCTGGTGTATGAATTGATCTTTGATTCCAGAACAGCTCTGTTTCATATGTGTGTGACATCAATAGATGTCTTTTTTGTCCCACCAGCTTATGTAGGCAGAAATGGCACTGGTAAAGTGTGCATGTGAAATCAGTGAAAATTTTCTTAAGGTATTAATGTTTTATGGGCTTCAAAGTCTCATGCTTAGATAACCATGGTTAAGTATCCAAGTTTGATATTTGGCTAATGGATAGTAAAGAGATAATTTTTGCATCAAGGCTGACTTGATTTTTGCAAAATAAGTACTAGATAAAAATAGGTTGATCAGCCTTTGGGGAACTCAGATACTAATTTTATAAATGGAAAGGAAAAATAGCCCTACAGAACCCATGCCTCCAATTATCTAGCTTTCAGAAACCTAGAAAAATATTTTGTGTTGAGTTGTCAGCATTACTGTGTATAAAAGTCATCCAATTGACTGGGTACACCTCGCCCAAAGCCGTGGCTTTTATGTAATGGAAAATGAGAGCTTGAGCTGCGACTCATGTTTTATTTGAAACCTAAAACAGTAACTGGCTTTTGTGTATAACCATTCCTTTATTTTATCATTATGACAAGGTAAAATATAACTTATAATTAAGTATCCGAATGGTTCCACTAAAGAATACAGAAGTTGATATATTTATATGTAGGTAGGTTCTTCTGGAGCTCTCTTTGGACAAAAAAGGAAAACTTTTGATGTGACTTGCTCTGTGGATCTTGGAATTCATGATAACTAAGGAGGCAAAGGAACCCTACCAGCTGGTTAGGATTTATAAGCCCAAACTCATCCATTTTAGGATGAGGAGCCCAGGATAAGGGAGAACAGTAAAGGCAAAGGCAGAAGAAATCCCATTGGCTTGGAACGAAGTTGCTGGTGACCAGGAAGATCAACCCTTTACAAAGTATAATAGGCTCCCATAATACTCTGCTGATGGGCACAGTAGTTGCTGCATATCGCTGTTTTGGTTCATTACCAAGAGCAGGGTAAAAAGATTCCTGACGGCTAAGGTAAGTGGGTTTAGTGAAAATGCACCACAAAGACCAGAGGGAAAGCTCTGGAAACTGCTGGATCATCAGATCAATAGACTCGAAGATGACGAAGTCAGGAAGCTTTATGCAGTTTAAACATTTGTGCAGGGAGTATCCCCCCACAGCCTTTTATTGACAGCTACAGATCAATGGTAATTTTTGATCATTTTCAACCTACATAAACCTATTGACCCCATGGCCACCTTTGGGGCACTTCAAGTCGTCAAAAATAATCAGAGGAGATGGTGTAAAATTGTCAGACTGCTGAAGACTCCAAGTAGTTTCATGTGTCCCCAAGAGCAGAGTTGAGAGGTTAAAATGTAGTCCAAATTGCCAGCAGAACCTCAACTGGCAGAGTGTTCCAGAGAGTCTTGTCTTATTTCTCATAAAATAATACACTGATTTGTATCCAGACTCTGACCCTCATGCATATAAGTTAAGAGAGAGGAGAAGAAAAGAGGCTAAATCTCATTGCAGAGAATGGATTATCCCTACTAAAATATTTCTTCATGTTTTCATTTGTTGAGTCCTTGTCTTCATCTGCTGCCTAACAAAAGTAGCTAATATACTTCTAGAATTAAAAATTTGAATATGAAATGGACATGGACATAGAATGGGCAGAGACAAACAGGAAGCAGATGCAAGGTGGTAGCCCAGGAGGAGTCAGGGATGGCAAAAAATACAGCTCAAAAGAATTGGGAGGATGGTAGAGTGAGGGGAAGAGCGAAATGATGACGGCGAAGAGGAAGAACTAAGAGTATTGGATTAAGACCATCTCCATAGGAAAGGGAGCAAGGGAAGGGGAGTGGCTTTGAAGGATGGTTTTCCTGGTCACTGGGACAGACTGGTGCATCTCCAAAGCAAGGAGCGGAGCCCCAAACACTTAAGATCCATAGTGCAAATATTTTGAATTTAAGAAAAATGACAAATAACTGAATAAATAAACAAGACACAACCAATCCACAGCGTGAACTACATCCAAATTTTGAGCAGGATTCTAAAATAGTGAACTTTGGTATTAGAAATCCATTCAGGAGAGAATAAAATCAATTATAGTATTTCCTAAAATGTCAAAAGACAAATTGGTAAGGATTGTTTTGCCATTTTTAAATTTTCTTCCTTTTTATATTTATATAGTCTTTACAGAACATTGACAAAAAACATAGCTGTTGATGGGACCTATTTAAAATGTGTGTGTGTGTGTGTGTGTGTGTGTGTGTGTGTGGCTTTTTTATTTTTTTTCTTTTTTGGTAGCTCTTCAGAAATAACAAATCAATGTAATATGAGAACTTGTCTTCAGTACAATTTCATGATACAGAAACCCTCCCGTGCATCCCAATATGTGATTATTTCTATTTTCTTAATAAAAGATTACAAAAAAAAAGCCCAGATTGAGCAAAGCTGTTTTGCTCATCTGCAAAATATTTAGAGGTAAGCTCCTCTGTAGGAGCTTGCATGAACTTCAACTTGAGAGCTGCAGGTCACATTTCTACATTAGATGGTGGAGGTTTTGAGGCCAGGGCATTTTGAATACTTCTGCTTTCAAGGATCTGAGCCATAAATGTTTATTAAAAGAATCTATAATGAAATCAGTTTTGTTATTTTTTTAATCATTGCCTGGAGTGTGTTGGATGACTGAATACCGGTTGTTAATCATTAAGTACTCATGTTACCAAAAGTGTTTGATAGTATTGCCATCTAGGGGCTGAATGGAATTCTCAGCTCTGAAATAAACTGTAATTGAGCAGGTGCTGCTATTGACAATATACATATGTTTTTGTTTTATAGCCCACATGCTTTTCATGTTTCTTATGACAAAAGCTATCTCTAAATGTCCCCCAACAGCCTACCTTTTTTTATATAATCTGTTAGAGGTGATTACTATTTGCTTTGGAGCTTATGGTTTTTGGCATCTATTACTGAATATCCTGAACAAAGAATTATTCTTTTTTGCATTATTAATCTTGTCCATGTTTGCCCTATTTCCACAGAAAAGGAATCATTTATCAGAAAAGAATGTTTGTAATCGAGACTTGTAGCATCTTCAGATTTAATATGCATTATGGTCATTCTAGTTCTGTGCTATATTTATCTAAAAGACCCATCCAATGTTGTGGAGAAATAAGTTTTTAAATATTTATGATCTAACTTTTAATATTTTAAAAAAGAGAAATTAGTATTTCTGTAAAATTTGTTTCACAGTCTGGTTGCTTAGCAAATGTTTAAATATTAAAAGATTTCAAGAGGTTAACATGTAATATCACAGTGAGACTTACTGAAATAGGAAAATTGACTTTACAAGTTTTTGATATGTAAGGGAAATTATTTTCTCTGCCTGTGTTTACCACATAATAAGAAACATTAACACAGTGGAAACATAATGAAGAATGTGAAAAAAGTGTTAAAATTTATTTCTACAGTGTTGTGATTTTGTCTATCCAGTTTGTTTGGAAATTAGATCAATTTGATTTTGTTACCTTGTTTTTTATTTTATACAAAATAATATTTGGATATCCCCAAATTGAGGAGAATTTCCTTACATATAACTTTGTCTGATGTTCTTGGGTACCTACTCTCAGAAATAAGCTCTTCCACACTTCACGTTCCTCATCCCTTGCCCACCAAGAAGACAATTGAAGATTATACTTAAACATCTAATAAAGCAAAACTGATCTCACACATCATTAAACGTAAATATCCTACTAACCCAGTCAAAACTTCGTCATGATTATTCACACAGCAGAAATGCCAATTTGCATATGTGTGTGTGTGTGTTTACCTACACACACGCTACTAGCCCATTGCAGACATAATTCCTACCTTAAACAGACATATCCACCCAGTCCAGATGTGGAAGAGTACCCCAGGGCCTTTCAGAACATTAGGATTCTTAGCTCTAGTTTTGTTATGCAAAATATGTTAAATGTTGCTCTCCAAGCAGAAAAATAACTAATTCTGCTATCCCTTTTTTTCTTTTCTTTTAAATCAACAAAGAGCAAAGTCTCAATTCCTAGGTAACAAATCCTTCTGGTAAGTTTCATGGTTTTACTTATAGTGCCTTTAACAACTGAGAATATTTTCACATTTAGATTAATAGTAGACTTCTCTAAGGCTGTTTGTACGTTTATAGTTCAATTGGTTTGTTATTTTCTTGTGTTTCTTTTATTGAATTTGTAAGATATAAACAAAAACCAAGCGAATAAGAGAGGGAGATTGGGGAGATGGAGAGAGACTTACACATAAACAAATATTGCTGGGGATTAGAGAATTAGGTTCATTCAAGTTAAGTCTCCAAACCCTTGAGATTAACCTACAGGGCAATTATTCCAGTCTCTGACATGCTACCACTGATTTTCATCATGCGCTAGATGCAGTACTGATCTGAGACATCACAGATTTTTTTTTTTTTCATGTTCATATATCACATCGTATGGGTTGCAAACTCTGAAAAGGCAAGGATCCTATCTCACCCACACTTGCTGGGTGTGGAAATCATGACATTAGGTAATATATTCAAGGTGTCAGCAAGAAACAGAAAAAAAACACACATTGTTTCCTTAATGATTACTCAAATCTCTGCTGTGGTATTTGTGCTGCCGTTGCTGATGTGCATTGGCCATGAAATTCAGAGAATGGCCGTTGCTGATGTGCATTGGCCATGAAATTCAGAGAATGACCTTCCAGCAATTACTGGCAGTTTCTAAAAGAAACTTAACATGCTAACTTTCTTACAGGAAACAAGCCATCAAGCCCACCTGTTTGGCTTAGAGCCATTCACAACATATCACATTGGCGTTGTGGCCGCAAACCATGCAGGAGAAGTTTCAAGCCCCTGGACTCTGATTCAGACCTTAGAATCTTCCCCAAGTGGACTGAGCAACTTTACAGTAGAACAGAAAGAGAAGGGCCGAGCATTGCTACTGCAGTGGTCAGCGCCTGCGAGAACCAACGGTGTGATTAAGGTAATGCCTACCCTATGTGTGGAACTGTGGTGTTCTCCATGGAAATAGATGAGCCCTGACGTGCCATCATGAGACTGCGGGAAAACTCCCTTATCAGCCTGTCTAATTCTCCTTGATGGCTCCTCCAGGCACTTAATCGTAGATCAGAGAAAATAGCTCACTGGTATGAGGCCTCCTATGAACTCAACACTGGGCTAAATGCTGTCCATGGATTATCTCATTTAATCCTCACATCAACTCTACTAGGCGAGCACCGCTAAACCTCATGAGGCACATAGAGGCTAAATACCATCTGAGCCCACATAGTAAATGATCAAGTTGGGATCTGAAGCCAAGAAGTCATACCAGAACCGAACTCTAAATGACTGTGTTCTTACTGCCTGCTGAATTACCCTACCCAGTTATGTGCTTAAGCCTTGACTAATTTGTGCCTTAAGCACAGCTCACCATGCAAGCCAAACATGCCTGCTAACTCCCCAACTTCCATATGCAGCCACAAGAAACAGTCTTACAAAAGTCACACATGTATCTCAGGCTCCACTAGCCTGTGAGTACAAACGAGGTGGCATTTCCATTAATAGCCCTCATTTTGGTGCTTTAAACCCTCACCCACATGAAACTAGACCTCATTTCCCTTTCTCATGTTCCTCCCCATGGGTCTATACTCCTGCCTCTACCTCGGGGTCTGCCCTGGACCACCCTCAGGACTTACCCACTACCTTCTGCAAGCTGGCACCACGGGATCCCCAGCCTGCGGCTGCTATAAACACTCTGCCCCCTCCTTTACCACTGCTTTTCAAGGTGGCAGAGACTCCCATGTTAATAAGACTAAACTGTTACTTTTAATAAAGCTTTCCTAAAAACCTTGTGAGAGGGATGACAGCAGGAGATTACATGCAGCAATAACTCAGAACCGTAACTAGAGCTCACAGACCCGGGTTCATTCTGGGGGCTGCCTCTCTGCCCAGCTCCAGGCCAGCTACATGTAGCAGAAGCACGCTGCTTTCCACCAGTCTGCCTGCAGGTGGCAGGAGCCACACTTCCTCCACCTGGGGCAAGAGGCTTGAGCCTTAGAATCCATGACCTGAAAATCCAAATCCCAGCCCAAAGGCCCCCATCAGAGAAGAGAGCTTCTCCCCCCACATGCCCCGAAGCTCTCCTTCTTGTGGGCGTTTCTCTGCCGGGCGCCTGCCTCTTCCAGGAGTGATTGACAATAGAACATTGGCTCCTTTTGCCTTCATTTACATTTTACCAAATATTTATTGAGCTTCTACTAAGTGTCATGCACATATTCAAGAGTGAGCAAGACAGGCAAGGTCCCTGCTGTCATGACCTTACACAGGCGTGCCTGCGTGCATGCGTGGGGGGGTGGGGATTTGAATGGTGGGGTACAGAGAGGCACACACTAAGCCAGTAAATAAACAAGGGAATTTTAGAGAGTGATGAATGCTATGAGGAAAATTGAATAGAATAATGTAATTACGCCTGCTCAGGCTATCTTAGAATGGGTAATCATTTGAACTGAGTTGACATTTGAGCTGATCCTTGCAAGACAAGACAGAGTCGATCATGTGAAGAGACGGGGGCAAAATGTTCCAGACACAGTGAACACAAGTGTGAGTCCTGAAGGCAGGAATGAACTTGGTGCATTCAAGGAAAGGGAGGAAAGCCAGTGGGGGGTGGGGGGGTGGACAGCACCAGGGGAGACGGGAGGGGCTGGCAGGAGGCAGGCTGTGGCCACCCTCGTGGGCTGTGGCAGGAGTTTAGAACTTGTTCTAAGCACAAAGAAAATTTACTGAAGCCTTCAAGCAAAGGAATAGCATAATCAAACTTATGTTTTTAAAAGCCACTCTGGATGCTACATGGCAAATAGACTATGAGGGAACCAATAGAGTTTGGAAGCTACTGAAGAATTCGCGATAGAACTGCTGGTGGCTGGAGTTAGAGTGGAAGTTGTGAAGCTGAGAACACGGGTGGGTTGGAGATATATTTAGAAGGCAGAGGTGACAAAATGTGTCAATGGACTGGATGTGAAACTCAAAGGAGAAGGGGTGCTTCGGGATGCCTTCTGGAGGTTGGAGGACAATGAGATTCGATGGGTAAGGAGGCAGTCAGAGGTCCAAGTCTAGAACTCCCGAGAGAGTTCTTCACTGAGATAAGTATTTGGAATCCATCATAAAATGGGAGGTATTTAAACCCATGGTGTGGAGGAGATGAGCTATGGAGAGAATGTGACTAGGGATGATGCGACCCTGGACTCAAGCCCTGGGCCGTGCTGAAATGTGCAGGTCAAACAGAGGAGGTGAAGCCAGCAAAGGAGGCTGAGAAGAGGCGAGAGAGGGATAAGGAAACATAGGTGAGTGGGGCATCCCAAAAGTGAGGAGAAGACATGCCAAGTGATGCTGAGAGGCCAAGGACTGTGAGGCAGAGAAGTGGCTCTGGATCTGGGAATGAGGGGTCATTGCAATCTTGACAAGAAGATCAGATGGTGGAATGGGAATCCTGGTTGAGATGGCTCAGGGAGAGATGGCACGTGAGGAAATGAGCACGGCAACTCACTAAAGAAGTTTAGAAGAAAAGAAAAGCAGAGAAATGGGGCAGTAGCTGGGGGACTGTGGTGTCGAGAAGTTTTATTTAAAAATAAAGGAAACATGCTAGAATCCATTTCAATACTAATGGCAGTAAGTGGCAGAGGGAGATAAATTGGTGTTTCGGGAAAAAGTAGCTGCAGGAGTGACGTCTTTAGGATGGAGAAGGGGAAGGAATATGGAGCTCAGGTGGCCTGTGATGGGGCAGAGCCACCTCATCCATAGCAAATAGAGTAGGTCCTGAGTCACATGGGTATGGTGGTAACATGGATATGGTGGTAATGGTATAGACCATGAGCACGTTCCTTTCTGGCTGCTTCTATTTTCTCAATATGTGGTTATGCCTACGACCACCTGAGAGGGTGGGGAGAGAGAACTGGTGGTTAGCGGGGAAGGGAGAAGATATGAAATAATCACTTTGGAAAATGAGAGCACAAACGTATGGGGAAATAGAATAACATTACAAGTTGGTGATCGCCTATCGAAAATTTAATTTAAAGTGAGACCAGTCAACATGTTTGAATATTTTTCTCCAAACCTTAGGAGCATGGGTATAGAGATAGAACTGAATTTAACACTAGTTAGAGATTTGCCAGGTGAATATCAGGGCAGCAAGCGGGGCTGGGAGTCAGAGAGGCTTGCCAGTTGATTATGGAATGTAAGCTCCTTTCGGAAAATTTGCCACTCCTGTTCCCCCAGGGGTGTGCTCTTGCCCTGAGACCCCAACAAGAAAATCACACCATATACAAGAGTCCAACATAAATAGATTTCCAAAAGTCTAGGCTATTTAATCTTAAATAACATCGAAGTATACTAATAATTCAGTCTAAGTTAAGCTCTCCCGGGAACCGCAGTAATGTTTCAAACTATATGCGCCTTCCAAGGCATTCTGATATGTGCCCTGTACCCTCTTGAGAGTCACCGTCACGGTGAGTCATCTACCAGAGTGTGTCGTATCTCTCAAGGCTGTTGAAGCAGGAAAAAGGCAGGAAATCGCTGTTCAAAAACATCTACAGTACTGTGAAGTGACTTCCCATCTTTCCAGAACAACAATGAGTAATACAGGAATGAAAACTTGCTCTACATTCATATAATGAGTGTTCAGATGGTTTCCCCAGAGCAAAAGAATACTTTGCCCCAAAGGAGCAATCAGTGCAATCAATTCTTCCACAGCCTGCAAGAGAAAACAAGATGGTTTTACCCATTTCGTAGTCATCAAAGTTTGTGTGTGTGTGTGTGTGTGCATATATACACTTACATACCTGTACACACATATATAAATGTGTATATACATATTTATACACACATATGTGTATATATGTACATTATACATATACGTATTGTGTGTGTATATGTATTTGTACAGATGTGTAACAAGCACACACACATTTTCAGCCCTGGCACTGTGTAACAACAAATGATTAAGCTTTATAATTCCATTTCCAGCAAATGCCGTGGAAGACAATGTAGATAGGCCCTACTTAGCCTAGACAGGATGAGATCAGAAGCATGTAGTGTTTATAAAATAGGGGACTTGAATACTATTTCCTACTTTAAAAAAATAAAAATAGGAGAAACCCTATGAGCACTATTGAAGTGGAAGAGTAAGATTCAATAATCCTTAGCTTTTCAATAAATGATTACCTATTACCCAACCTTTAGGAAAAAAGTTGAAGAAAAATATTGTTTCTTCTTCTGTAGACCTTACATTAGTTGGAAAAGATCACATTCCCCAAATTAATATCAGAATGTTCCCTCCAGATCAGGGTCATCAACATGAGCAATAAGGGGTAAAAGTGAAAAGGGGCTAAATAGCTCCCACAATACACCATTCTGTGAGTCATTCCCTGTGCCCCTCTTGTTCCTGCAGACCTACAACATCTTCAGTGACGGCGTCCTGGAGTACACCGGTTTGAGTCGTCGGTTTCTCTTCCGCCGCCTGGACCCTTTCACTCTCCACACGCTGACCCTGGAGGCCTGCACCAGGGCAGGGTGTACGCACACAGCGCCCCAGGCTCTGTGGACAGACGAAGCCCCTCCGGACTCCCAGCTGGCTCCTNGAAAACAAGATGGTTTTACCCATTTCGTAGTCATCAAAGTTTGTGTGTGTGTGTGTGTGTGTGTGTATATACACTTACATACCTGTACACACATATATAAATGTGTATATACATATTTATACACACATATGTGTATATATGTACATTATACATATATGTATTGTGTGTGTATATGTATTTGTACAGATGTGTAACAAGCACACACACATTTTCAGCCATGGCACTGTGTAACAACAAATGATTAAGCTTTATAATTCCATTTCCAGCAAATGCCGTGGAAGACAGACAATGTAGATAGGCCCTACTTAGCCTAGACAGGATGAGATCAGAAGCATGTAGTGTCTATAAAATAGGGGACTTGAATACTATTTCCTACTTTAAAAAAATAAAAATAGGAGAAACCCTATGAGCACTATTGAAGTGGAAGAGTAAGATTCAATAATCCTTAGCTTTTCAATAAATGCTTACCTATTACCCAACCTTTAGAAAAAAAGTTGAAGAAAAATATTGTTTCTTCTTCTGTGGACCTTACATTAGCTGGAAAAGATCACATTCCCCAAATTAATATCAGAATGTTCCCTCCAGATCAGGGTCATCAACATGAGCAACAAGGGGTAAAAGTGAAAAGGGGCTAAATAGCTCCCACAATACACCATTCTGTGAGTCATTCCCTGTGCCCCTCTTGTTCCTGCAGACCTACAACATCTTCAGTGAGGGCGTCCTGGAGTACACCGGTTTGAGTCGTCGGTTTCTCTTCCGCCGCCTGGACCCTTTCACTCTCTACACGCTGACCCTGGAGGCCTGCACCAGGGCAGGGTGTATGCACACAGCGCCCCAGGCTCTGTGGACAGACGAAGCCCCTCCGGACTCCCAGCTGGCTCCTATAATCCAGTCTGTGCAGTCCACCAGCGTTGAGCTGAGCTGGTCTGAGCCTGTTAACCCAAATGGAAAAATAATTCGCTATGAAGTGATTCGCAGATGCTTCAAGGGAAAAGCTTGGGGGAATCAGACAATCCAGGCTGATGAGAAAATTGTTTTCACAGAGTATAATACTGAAAGGAATACATTTATGTATAATGACACAGGTTTGCAGCCGTGGATGCAGTGTGAATATAAAATCTGCACTTGGAATTCAGCGGGGCGTACCTGTAGCTCTTGGAATGCGGCAAGGACTTTGCAAGCACCCCCGGGAGGTCTCTCTCCACCTGAGATAGCCTATGTGTCTAGGGATCCCCCCAAATTGCTGATTTCCTGGGTCCCACCAGAACAGTCCAATGGCATTATCCAATCCTATAGGCTTCAAAGAAATGGAATACTCTATCCTTTCAGCTTTGATGCTGTGACTTTCAATTATACCGATGAAGAGCTGCTTCCTTTTTCGGCCTACAGTTATGCAGTCCTGGCCTGCACAAGCGGAGGCTGCTCCCCCAGCAGACCCACCAGCATCACAACTCCTGAGGCTGCTCCCACACAAGTCAGCCCTCCAGCTCTTTGGGCCATCAGTGCCAGTCAAATAAATGTATCTTGGTCACCACCATCAATTCCAAATGGAAAGATCACAAACTACTCGCTTAGATACGATGGTAAGGAGTACTTTGCTGGGCAGGGCCTGTCCCTACTGGTTTCCCACCTGCAGCCTTACACTCAGTATAATTTCTCCCTTGTCGCCTGCACAAATGGGGGTTGCACAGCTAGTATGTCACAGTCTGCCTGGACATTGGAGGCCCCACCAGAGAACATGGACCCCCCAACACTGCAAGTCACAGGCTCAGAATCAATAGAAATCACCTGGAAACCTCCAAGAAACCCAAACGGCCAGATCAGAAGTTATGAACTTAGGAGGGATGGAACCATTGTATACACAGGCCTGGAAACCCGCTACCATGATTTCACCCTCACACCAGGTGTGGAGTATGGCTACACGGTGACTGCCAGCAACAGCCAAGGGGGGATTTTGAGTCCACTCGTCAAAGATCGAACCAGCCCCTCAGTGCCCTCAGGGATGGAACCTCCAAAATTGCAGGCTAGGGGCCCTCAGGAGATGTTAGTGAACTGGGACCCTCCTGTGGGGACAAATGGCGATATTGTCAACTATACCCTCTTCATCCGTGAGCTATTTGAAAGAGAAACGAAAGTCATACACATAAACACAACTCATGATTCTTTTGGCACACAGTCATTCGTAGTAAATGAGCTGGAGCCGTTTCACAGGTAGGTAGCCACATCTGGGCTTTCTGAGAGCAAGCCACTGTTGTTTCTATCACATGAGCCCTTAGTTCTAATGAAGACTCTGAAAGCAAGTCACGTGATGTCCCCATCCCCTGTCCCTTTAACCATCTGCAGTGGACAAAGCACATCCTCCTCCAACCAAAGCCAGCTTGCATTACCTCTGGAGAGCAGAATTCTTGCAGGTGCTGTTTTGTGAGTCAGTTTCTAAGAAATGTTTGCAATTCACCATGATGTCTGGAACAAATAGTACTGAGCTAGGACAGTTCCCTATATCTAGTCCCTTCTGGAATTGTGTAGGCCCATGGATAGCTCTGAGACCCCCAATAGAGTCATCTGACCCAGACTGAGAAGAAAATGAGGTGTTATTTTTAAGGTATCAAAAAAAGTGCCCATCAATGAGACCTATAATCAGCCAGACTTGGACAAAATCAAAATTTGTGTTGGAGCAAGCCCTTCTTACTGAATCCAGCACTTCTTCCAGAAATAATGCAGCTCCTCTGACTCTATTTCCTCACACACACTACCCCATCCCCACCCCACCTCACTGACTCCCTCAGCTCTGATCTCATGGTTTCTCAGGCCAGTGACACTTTGCTAGCTCCTGTTTTCCCCACAATTCCAACTGGGCTGTGTGACATGCCTGGAAGTGTGCTGCTCTCCACACAAAGGAATCTTGCCACCAGCCCTCTTCCCATAGCTTAAAGAATTGCTTGGCATTTTTCCCCATCACATTTTAAGTAACTTACATCCCCAGAGAGAAGAGTAATAAAAGACATTTTATGCTTAAAATTTAGTAAAATGAACAGAACCACTTAAAAAAATTAAAGGCTGAAAGAGTGTTGATTTCCAACCACCGTAGGTAAAATTCAGCTATTATTGTAATCTACTGATGTGTAGATTAGATCCCTCCTATAATTATCTCTGATATATAGTGCTGTTTAAATGAAACATTCATTGTCTTATGCATCTACTCATGACAATTATTTAAGGTCATATTAAATATTAAACAGTAATTAAAACTTCCTCAGGTATCCTCCATAGCCAATCCGCATGCTATATGAATTGGCTTTTATTTTACTCTGATTCAGGGCATAAAAAAGGCCCACTTTAGCTGCAGAGCTGTACATTTTATAGTGGCTCCCTCTTTACCTGACTGCACATGCAAGTGTTAAAAAATTATATCAATTTGTACCCCTTTGAAACTCTTAATCAAAAAGATTTCTAGAGAAGAAANAAAATTATATCAATTTGTACCCCTTTGAAACTCTTAATCAAAAAGATTTCTAGAGAAGAAAGGTTTTCTAGATGTGAGAGGGACACTTTTTCTAGCCTGAAAAAAAAAAGTTTGATTTATCTGATAAACCAGCAATGATATTTATCCACTCTAATTGAAGCTAAAGTTAACACTGATGACATAAAATACAATATCTCTAATATATGATGTTGGGGTTCATGCAATTTTTTGTTTGGGGGGTTTTTTTTAGAAGATTAATGTTTACTGAATATTGCAAATCAATGTGTCCATCCTTCTTTGGGCACCCCCAGCTGGTCAGCAGCAAGAAGTAGCCTGGGAATGCCCTAAGTAGCAGAAGGAAACTTACCCCAAATTTAAACGCTATGCAGATAATCCAGAAAATAAAAAAAATCCCGATGTGGAAAATCAACAATGACTTCACAGAATTGCTTGCAAATCAGGTCTGCCATACGCAGCTCTAAATGTTTTCACCAATGGACTGGTGGCCCCATTACGAGAGGATGCATGAGAGGAGAGGGAAGGAAGGAGAAGCAGAAGAGGCAAGTGAAGGAAGCCACCGAGGAAAAGAGAAGCGTAGTCAAGAAGGGGAAAGGGTGAAAGAGAAAGGAAGCAGTGACTAGAGGAGCAAAGGGAGAAGGTAGAAAACAAAAGAGGGAAAGGCCGAACCAAAAGAAATCAAGGGAGGAAGAAAGGTGCTTGAGGGAAAACAGGGGGATCATAAAATCAATGGGCATGAGAATAGAGAGAAAAGTGCTCATGTGCAGCCATAGGCACTTAATAATAACACAAGCCCTTTGTGTTGGGAGGGGAAAACCCTTGCTATGTAAATAGACCTTTCCAAGTGGCAAAACCAGCTAAGAGGCACGACATAATTGATTGGTCGAGTTTAACTGGATGGTGATAAGGTGTCTCCATGA